TGGTGGGGTGGGAGAATGGGGAGCTAATAACAAAGACTAGAGGAACTAAGAAAAAATAACTATGAAAAGTCTAAAATTTTAAAAAAGCAAAAAAACGTCTAAAATAATTGTGGTGATGAGTGTAGAACTCTTTTTAATATGATGGAACTACTAAATTGTTTTAAAAAATTAAAGTTTCATTGGAAAATTTAAAATTAAATTATAAACAACCTAGGAAACAAACCCTTAATTTAGTTGCCAGTCAATATTGATATAAAACTGTCACAGACATTCTAATTCATATACACTGAATTACAATCAATTTTCAGTTACCTACAGGATAAAAATCTACATAGTAATTCTTGCTTCCACTTTTTTTTAACATTGGAAGGTGGGGTGCAACAAAAGTTACATAAGAAGGAATCCAACTGTATTTTCCTGCCTATAAAGAATAATTCTGTACCTTGTGAGTATATTCAAAATGGACTGAGCCAAGTTCTTTTGAGAATCAGGAAGCAACGTCTGTGTACTTGTCAGTCCTACATCAACAACACATGTTCCAGGGGTTAAAAAAAAACTTTCGTCTTCTTCATTTTCTTCGGTTATCAATCTAGAATTCCCACCTCCAAAATCAACTGCTGGACTTAATTTCCTATGCTAAAAATGGAAAGAAGAAGAAAACAGTAATTAAACAACCAAATTAAATTTCCTATATGCTTCTAATTTACAAATTTCCGAAGTTAGAATTACAGTGGAAGCTGAACTGATGTGAACTCGGTGCTACGTCTTGAGCAGACCTCCACCTGGGAGGACCATTAGTTCGCCCGCCCTCACAGCCCGGCTCTCTCTGCTGGTCCTCCTCATGCTAACTGCACAGAGCTGAACGCTGGGCTGCCTTACACGCTTCCTCCATGGCACCACAAACTCACCCCCTGGCAGGCACCCAGAAGACTTTGTGTAATATTTTCTAAATCAACAAGTTATGATTTGAGCCAAATTTTTCTGTGTATCACCTCTGAGAACTAATGAAGAGGCCAGTTACCAAAGTGCATCAGGGTTACTTTGGGAGCAGCTAACAACAACAAAGACAACAAAAATGAAGGTTAGAAAAATGTTCACGGTCAATCAGCAGGCTCTAGAGCAGTGGTTCTCAACCTTCTTAATGTTGCTACCCTCCCACAGTTTCTCATGTGGGGGTGACCCCCAACCATAACATTATTTTTGTTGCTACTTCATAACTGTCACTTTGCTACTGTTATGAATTGTAATGTAAATACCTGATATGCAGGATGTATTTTCAGTTTTGCAAATTGAACATAATTAAAGCATAGTGATTAATCACAAAACAATATGTAATTATATACTGTGAAATATTTGTGTTTTCTGATGGTCTTAAGCGATCCCTGTGAAAAGGTCGTTCAGCCCCCAAAGGGGTCTCGACCCACAGGTTCAGAACTGCTGCTCTCGAGCTGAATATTTTATTCCACTTCACACTACTTTACCAAGTCCCAGGATGAAAGTAATGCAGAGTGACTGGTAACACATTGTAATGCTATTTTACTTTGAGGGAAACTTAGCTGATAATATTACCTGTTTAGCATTGAGAAATACAAATGTTTTCCCTTTGAAGATCTGTCTTCTTTCCTGTCGCCTGGATAGGTCAACATTTTTATTTCCAATAGCTGGTTCATCAATCGGTGGGTAAAAACTAGAAAAATAATTAACACAGACTCCAATGATATGCTACCCTACATATTTGCTGTTTATAAATGGGGTAACTAAAATCATTAATGCATTTCCTTTTAAAGTCAGATTTTCATTTAGGTTAAAATGATAAAAAGGTAGAATTGTGGGAAAAGGTGTTAGATAAACAGGATTCTTCCTCAGTTTCTAAAAAGATACAATCCAAAGTAAACAAGTGTTAACATGAATGTGTTCGACATATATGAGTCAAAAAAAGTTGTTCAAATTACAGAAAGTTGAAACATCATCCATAAAGATCAAATTCTATAAAAATCTTATGTTTGCTTGGTGGGTAATAATGTTCATGTTCCAATACTTAGAATGGTGTAGTAGTCTCATAATTTCATGTCAACTGATGACATGGCCTGGAGGTACAAGTCTCTGGAGAGAGGTCTCTCCTCGCACCCCCTGAGGTGCTTCCGCCAACATTGGATCCATATACTTTACACCCACTGGCCTGTGACCTGCCTGCACTCTGAATCACTGCCTGCTGCTATGTGAGTTTGAAGATGGACTTATGGACTAGTATCAGGCTGATGGACTTTAGTTGGACTGGGATGGGATATTTTTTTTTGGGGGGGGGATTTTTTTAATATATAATTTCTCCTTGATATAACGGTATTCCTTACACATCTATGAGTGTCATTGGATTTGTTTCTCTAGTCAACCTGGCCTCACACAAATGAATACTGTGTTTTGTTATAATCTCTTTGGAGAAGCTAAGGAAATTTTAAAACTTACATTTCCAACGTGAGATGAAAGAATATAATGTTTCAGTTAAAGCATGTAAGCTTCATAGAAAGGATTGAATGCTATGAGAGCATATTAACTGTCCACAGAAATGGGGAAAAGAAGATAGAAAAGTCAGGAGACATCCTTAACATCTTTTATCAGTTCAAGCCTTTTGCTATAGCTATCCCTGACTGACCTCACATGCTACTTTCTAAGAAAAATTACTACTGTATCATGGCAATCCATCATGGGAAGACAATACGCGAAGGCTAAAATCCAGCCAGTCAATCATTAAGGAACCAGTCACTCTAGAGGCTCTAGAATTAAATGTCTGCACAGAGCAACATCCAATGTGATGAAAATACTTCAATCATTACGAGCAACCGTTCAGTACTTTAGAATTAGTTTGCTTACATTCCCAGCCCCCATTTTTCCTTGACAACATATATAAAGTCATGATCAAACACTTCGAAAATTTTTTAAAGTATCGATTAGAAACACAAATGTAGGTGTTTTAATTCACTACAATTGCTGTGCTAGTCTATTCTAAAGTAGGGATTTCTGGAACCCACTATGCTTTTAAAAACCACGCGTACACTACTGTTCAGGGCAAGTACTATTCATAATAGCAAAAAGGTAAAAGCAACCCAAGTGTCCATCAACAGCTGAAGGAATAAACAATATGAGATACCGACACAATGGACATTCTGTAGTCATAAAAGGGATAAGCGAGTGACAGTCTGTGGTCTAGATAAACTTAGAAAGCATCAGGTGAAGTGAAATAAGTCAGACACAGAGGGAAAATATTGCACAATCCTTAGATGAAATATCTAGAATGCATAACATACCTTTCAATTTGTGGAAGCTGCTTTTTGGATTGAACCGCTTGAAGAAACTCAGTAAAATATTCTGGTTTTACAATCGGACAGCCACAAATGAGTGCACATATTGTCTAAAATGAAGACATGCTTTTTAGGGCATGGAACAACATCGACATATACATTAACTTAAAATGCACTGCAAATTAAAAACCATTAAAATATTAAATGTATTGCTTAAAAGTGAGAAACAGAGAGACTATACAGAGATAAACATGAGAGAGAAAATCTTTTCAGCCGTACACACTGACTTTCACACAGACTATAACTGGATCTTTTCAAGAAAGTAAGTAATGGAGTAACTGTTAGCGGTTAGGGAAAAGCTCTAAGGAAGTCCACAAGTTAAGTGAAGAAAGAAACTTTAATGAAAGCATGAGTTAAGCTGTAAATCTCAAATAAGATATACAAAATACATGAAAGATTTGAAAATATTATCTTTAGCAATGGAAATGAAAATATAAATGTGATTTGGCATACTTCTAGAGAATCATCAAAGTACAGACACTTTGTGAGTGTGTTTCTAGTAACACAGAGGGCAGCCTAAATAGGAGGAAGCAGGTTGAGGGTAGCTTCCAAGATTCAAGTCTGAAACACTCCAAATCTCTAACATGAATGAAAAGATTAGCTTCTTGGGGAGGCAGTGATGTTGAGGAGGGAAGACAGCATTGGGTCTACTAAGCAGCACTGGGTCTACTAAGCTCCAATACAACTGATTCTAGACAAGTTATTTAATTGTTCTACAACTAAGATTCTTCTTCAGAAAATACATGTTGAAATAAATACCCTGAAAGTTCCTTTTGGGTTCTAACAGTCGATGGTTTTAACACGAGTAAACGTGCATATCTGGAAAATTTACAACCACCACCACCCCCGCCAAAAAAACGACAGCACAAATATTCTGTCCCCTGTAAAAGCAGATCTCTACTGAAAACTAATACAAGGACATTTTCATTTGTGCATCCAGTATATGTGGGTTTACAAGCAGAATTAGTTTTCCTGAGGCTAATAAATGGCTGAATTTATAAAATAAATTTTATAAACTTACAAAGATGAGGCCCTTGATCAGAGATAATTCTATTGAGGTACAGATTTCATTTGAGGTTTAGCCTGTGCAACCAGCCCTTCTCTGATACCTCTTCAGCTGTAATACGCATGCCCTCATTTTGTTAATTATATTAGTCACTGGATCCAACATGTAAAGATTTTTATGATTTCTAATAACAGAATCTAAATATTTGTTGTGCTTTGCTAGAGATAATAACCTAAACGAATCTTATAGTATACAGGAACGGCTTGTTTAAAAGGAGAAGAACCACTTCCCAAAGCCATTTCTCTTTTCTTTTTATTTATTTATTTATTTATTTATTTATTTTTCCAAAGCCATTTTTCAATTAACTTTTAGTACCCCCAAATCTGATGAAGATGCAATACCTGAAAATATACCTAATATGTCACGGTTTTAATGAACAGTCTGAAAGTGAAATATACATCTACCTATAGGCTGTGAAGCTGCATTAAGGTAACATTAAATTTAAAAAATCATAAAGGCCTTTGACATTAGACACTTAAACGAATCCTAATTCACCTTGAGAGGCTATCACAGACTGGAAGAAGAAAAGAGACATATGCTAGCTTTGAAGAATGACAATTGATCTCAATTAAACAAGAAACAACAAAAACAAACAAACAAATTAAAAAAAAAAAAAATCCCCCAGGCATTGCAATAATCTTCTTGGTGAAAGGATAACATACGGTATATACCCAAATATAAGCTGACCCGAATATCAGCCAAGGCACCTAATTTTACCAAAAAAACTGCATTAAAAATGTGCTGAAAAAACTCGGCTTATCCACGAGAATGTATGGTGATTTTCTGAAATGCTAAGTCAAAATTAAATTCTAGTTTTTTATGCTTGCCTCAGATAAGTTATCAGAAAAGCCATGTTCACCTACATAGTATGTAATGGCACGGGGTTCGAATTTTTAAGTCCCCAATTAACAATTCTGATAGTTTCTAAAGTACATGACTTAATGGTCTATGTACGAGGTGGTATCCCCGCAAAACAGAAAAAATCTACGCTGGGTGGAGCTTTGGTAATATGCATTTTTCCCTGCTAGGTGAGCAACTCACTCTGACTTAGCGCACCCAGTGGCATCACCTGGGAAGGTTCTCTCAGGTCCCAGTGAATTTTTTCATAAAAGCAGTTTCGCTCAAACCTCGTTTTTTGTGACAGCTGATTTAAGAGAACAACTTGCAGCTGTGAAATTTTATTTCCTCCTCAGGAAAAATGTTGCAGAAACTATTGTGATGTTGAACATAGTTTATAAGGTCAGTGTTATGGGAAAAACTCAAGTGTACAAGTGGTTTTCTCATTTCAAAAAAGGTAGAATGTCAATTGATGACAAACCTCATTCTAGATGGCTGTCAACTTGATTCACAACCCAAAATTTCAACTCATAGTACATCTGGAGTTCATTCCACCAGGTCAGACTATTAATCAAGATTTCTATTTAGAGGGTCTGAAAAAATTGTGTAACAGTGCAACAAAAAATGCCTGGTTTATGGCAGACAGAGGACTGGTTTTCCCTCCTGGACAAAGCACCTGCTCACGCAGCCATCTCAGTGCACCAGTTTTTGGCAAAAAACAGCATGCCTCTCTTGCCCCACACACTTTACTCACCAGACCTCACTCTGTGACTTTTTGTTTCCACAAATGAAGAGGAACTTGACGTGAGAGCAATTTGATTACGTAGAAGAGGTGAAGAAAAAAAACGAGGGAGGTGCTGTCAGACACCCAAACAGATAAGTTTGAAAAATGTTTCCAAGAATGGAATTGCAGATTGACAAATGTATTAAGTGTAATGGAGTACTTTGAAGGTGGTAAGACTGTTTTGTAAACAAATGTAATTACATAGCTTTGGGGGGGGTGCTCCATTTTGGGGGCTAGCCCCTCATACTCTCTGATTGAACTCAAACTCTGAGAATTTATTTTAACCTAATAGCAGGGCATTATACCTACTTTAATGGTAACTTTAACTGATGCCATGACGAGGTGAGTACATTTTTCTGTCCAACTGTTTACAGAGAGTCCTCCAAGTTGAAAAATAGCTTGATTTAAAGCAGTTTTCCCAGAGACATCTAAACAAGAAGAGCATGCAACCAACGGCTCATACACAGCCCTGCAAAACAGATACACACATTAAGTAGATCACCACAGTTACAGAGATGCAACTCAAAGCACCTTAAGACTTCGAGCTAGTGTTTCTCAAAGAGGGTAGTACCACCCCCTGGGAGGGTGCTGGAAAAATGAGGGAGCTGGGAGCAAAAGCAGATACTTATACTTTATCCTGGATTGTGGGCTATAGTCTAAGTATACTTCCCCCCCACCTCCCTGAAAAAGTGACACCAGGCCAAATAAGTTTGGGAGCTTATGCTTTAAGCTGATATCAGGTATATTTTTACTTCTATGTATCATTAAGCTTTTTAACTTACGGAATTGTCATTTGCTAAGTCTTGAATCCCAATTGAGAAAACACAATGATGAAAGTTAACATTAGACTTTCGCACATAGTCATAATCAAGGCTCTCGGGCCACTCAGTCTCCCTCCCCTGCTGTCATTGTCTGTGGCCACCACTTGATGCTGCACAGAGCTGTGGCACAAAGTTCACTACTAGTTTAAGTAGGAACTAAGTTAGAAGACCTTCAAATCCTTATCCACAGATAACATCGTCCCCTAGAATATGATCAGTGTCAGAGAGAGTTGTCCACTTTAATACTCATTTCAATTTAAAAAATTCTTACCTGAATTTACTGTCAAACACTCCAAAGGTAACTCTATCCTCTGTCTTCAAAGTTTGGGAAACACAATTCTTCATTTTTTCCTCATTAACAAAGGTACCATACTTAGAATTATCTTTTATTGTCAATATAGGGATGTCATCTGACTGACTCTGAAAAATCAACAAGTAAGTTAATGTCTTAATCTCTCAGAACATTAAATTCCCAGAGGAAAACGTTTCAAAAGAAAAAGTGGACAACTTTTTGAATAGGTAAACAGATTGTGGCTAACCTCCCAACACAGACGACAGTACATTTATTGTTTTGGTTGCCTGCTAAGAATGATCACTCAACTACTAATTCAAATTTTCTCGGGAAAATTTCTCTGAAAAACAAAAACAAAACCTCCGGTAAACAAACAAGCCAGGTGCTGTCAAGTGCACTCTCACTCAGAGCCACTCCATGTGGATCAGCAGAAATGGGCTTCACTGGGTTTTCAGTGAAGTCCATTGCCATCTCCTTCTTCCAAGGTGCCTCTAAGTAAGCTTCAGAAGCCAATAATGTCAACGGTAACTACCCAGGGACGTCACCAATCTCATTACAAGTCCCTAATGATATCTCTCAGGGAATACATTTTGATTTTCTTCTGTTGTTTTTTTTTTTTTTGTAAGTCAGTTGAAATTATTCCTGATCCCTTAGTTTTAAACATTTGAGACTTGTCTGCAAATTCTATTTCATATGTAACATGACAGTGTCATTCCTAATTTTTTTTCTGTTTACATTATCAAAATCACATTGTGGAAACTGGCTGAATGAGAAAAAGGGTATTTACAGTCTAGCTTCTGATACATGTAACAACCATTTTACTTTTACTGTAGGAATTTCAACAAAACTGTTTCTATACCTAAAACACATAGACAAAACTTAAATATGGCTGAACAAACTCAGCATTTGCTGTATGCAGTCTTTACCCAGAATAATGGCTTTGTTTCTTATTACCAAGAACATTATCATGAGCAGAGCTATTTGTATATATAACTTTTATATCACGTTTTATCTCCTACAGTGGTTGATTTAAAACAAAACACAAGCTATAAAATAACAAAAGTCATTCCAAAGAGCTGCACAGCATATGCAGTAGTGGTTCTTCCTTATAAAAGAAGTCAATGCTCACTGTGAGAACTGAATGTTCTGTAGGAAATGACAGTGTTCCCATTGCTCCATTAAAAGCAGGATCCACCAAGGTCTGTTCACTGCTTTATCACCAGGCACAGTTCGTGACAAACAGTAAGTACTTAGTAAATACACACGAACATATGCAACTTCCTCTCAGTTTCTACATCACAAGATAAACTGGCTTTTAAAAAACACATTTACATCAAGTGGTTGACTCATATTGACCCTCTATGATAGAAAAGAACGTGAGGTTTCCAAGACTGTAAATCTTTACAGGAGGAGACAGTCTTATCTTTCTCAAAGGCTCTTGGGCCACTCAGTCTCCCTCCCCTGCTGTCATTGTCTGTGGCCAAATTAATTACATAGCTTTGGGGGGTGCTCCATTTTGGGTACCATTACCAAATATAAGTATTTAACTTTAACACAAGAAAAAAAATTAACAGCTTTATGTAGTGAAAAGTCGTAGGGAATCTCTCTTACATATGTGCCAAGGCAGTCATTTGTGATTCCAACCATCTTACTACCTTGGCACACATAGAAGAGAGATCCCCTAAGACTTTTCACTGCATAAAGCTGTTAATGTTACTGCAAGTTGCAGACTTAGAATTTAGTCTGGAAGAAGAAGATTCTATCAGGGGAGAGGTAACAAGATGACTCTAGATGCACCACAGGAACAGGAGGGTCCATACACTAGACAGGAAGTGGTCCAGCAACGCCTTTCAAGCAGCTTTGGTTGCCTCCTGTCAATCGGAGATTCTAAGCCTCAAGTGGGTCACTTCAGAGAGATGTGTTTCGGGTTGGTTTATCTACATTTTTTCCCCAGAAGAATGGGTCCATCCTTCCCCCAAACTTCTGAATCATGACCGCCACAAAAGTTAGGCAGGCTGGCCATCAAAGCTACAGACATTTCCTTCTGCTACTTTGGACATGCTATCAGGAGAGACCCGTCCCTGGGAAAGGACATCATGCTTGGTAAAGTCAAGCATGAACATATGCAACTTCCTCTCAGTTTCTACGTCACACGATAAACTGGCTTTTAAAAAGCACATTGCCATCAAGCGGTTGCGACTCACATTAACCCTCTATGATCGAAAAGAACTTGAGGTTTCTAAGACTGTAAATCTTTACAGGAGGAGACAGTCTTATCTTTCTCCTGCAGAGCAATTGGTGGGTTTGAACCACTGATCTAGCACACAAACTTTAATCCCTTCATAAACAAGCACCACTGGTACTATTACCAAATGTAAGTAAAATAAAATGAGCTCCATACCAGGTTAGTTCCAGAAAAGTCAGCAGTTAGCACAGCATGATTTCTACTGATTGATTGATCATTGTTAATTAGAATGTCACAGTTTTTCCTTCCAACAACATATTCAACACCAGTCAAAAGTCTGTATGGTTCTAAAAGAAATTTTTAAAAAGTTAGAAAAAATTGATTTGACAAACACATATAATTATTATATGTACATAAACAGGCATACATGGATGTATAGACATAATATAGTTGTGACAAATGCTTAACATTTAAAAATTTTACTTAAGTGCTACTCATATAAAATCAAACTTGTGCCTTCTATTAAAGTCTTACTGAATGTGCTAGTTACATAATCTGTTGTCAATTTGAGACTTAAGAGTAAAGGGGTGGAGTTTAGCCTGTTAATCAGGTCACAGTTTGATGACTTCATTCGGAAGCTGTAAGGAGATAAATAGCTCACTGGAGGCAGGACACACACTCACTCCCTGCAAGACATTCCTGCGGACACAACACACAGAGCTATGCTAGAGCCCTGGAGCTGAAGGAGCCACATGGAGACCTGCCAGCGCTGAGATGCTTCCACTGCCACTGGATCCACAAGACTTTCCATGCACTGACCTATGATCTTCCTGGATTTGGCATCCTTGCATGTGTTGTGGGAGTCTCAAGAGAAATTTATGGGCGAATATCCGACTTACGGGCTAATACTGAACTCATGGACTTGATCTGGACTGGGTTGGGATGTTTTCTCAATATACAATTGCTCTTTTATATAATAAAGCTCTTTCTAATCCACATGAATCTCCTGGATGTGCTTCTCTAGTCATACCAAAGATTATCTAAATGGATGGAAAATCATTCCATGCTTCTGAAAGGAAAAATATATATATATAGTATAGCAAGGAGTTAATGCTGCCCCAAAGTAACTTATGTTATTGTTAACTGCTGCCGAGTCGAAGCTAACTCATGGAGACTCCACCTGAACAAAATAAGGGACTTTCTAGGCTATGATCTTTGGAAGCAGGTTGCCAGGCCTGTCTTCTGAGGCACCTCTTAGTAGGTTTGAATGGCCAACCTTTCAAGTAGTCGTCCAGGAGCTTAATTATATTTGCTCCCCCCACTTTCCCAGACTCCTGGAACTTGATAAACTAATTCAAAACTTCATTTTTAAAATATACTATTAAAAATGATAACAAGGAAAGACTTGAGTAATATTGCAGGCATTTTCCCTACCTGAAAGCGAAAAGTATTGTTTTTGGATCAGGAATTATGTTCTTTGGATCAAGGATAAACAACATAAATCAATGCAATAAATCCACAGGAGATCCATGTGTACTTATCTATCAGTATTTTAATGTTAAAGACAGCATTTCGAACTGCGCTAGAAAGGGTTATTGTTTTAAATAAAAGTGAAAAACCGCAAGTTGTAGACTTAGAATTTGGTCTAAGTCTGTTCTAACAGGGGAGAGGTAACAAGATGACTCTAGATGCACCACAGGAACAGGAGGGTCGATACACTAGACATGAAGTGGTCCAGCAACGCCTTTCTAGGAGCTTTGGTTGCCTCCTGTCAATCAGAGATTCTAAGCTTCAGGTGGGTCATTTCAGAGAAACAAGTTTTGGGTTGGTTTATCTACCACCACCACCCCCTAGTAAGATGGGTCCATCTTTCCCCAAACTTCTGAATCATGACCGCCACAAAAGTTAGGCATGCTGGCCATCAATGCTACAGACATTTCCTTCTGCTACCTTGGACATGTTATCAGGTGAGACCCGTCCCAGGGAAAAGGACATCAGGCTTGGTAAAGTCGACGGGCAGCAAAAGCAAGTAGGACCTTTAACAAGATGTACTGGCCTAGTAGCTACAACAATGGGCTGACACACAAGAACAATTGTGAGGATGGCGCAGGACCAGACAGTGCTTCAGTAGGTTGCACACGGGGTCTCCATGGGGCTGTATTGACTGGAGGGTACCTGTTTACCACCACCACCACCATGCTATGGGGAGCCACAGTCAGACACGGGGCGTGTTCTTCCAACACTCCCAAGGACCTATGCCAACAAGTTTAGGTC